ATGTGTATAAGAGACAGTCGTTAACTTTAACCAGCTCTCTTGCCAAAATTATTTATCAGATCAAAATTTGCTAAAGGAAAATGTTGTTCCTTTTAGCACAAAGTATCACGTCATGTACTCCGAATGCGTCAATTTTGGGACACCCTGTATATATATATATCGAGTCAATCACGGTTTTTCGAGCTTATTGCAATTAGAAAAAAAAATACAAATTTGTTTATACATATATAGAACTAAAAACTTTCTTACGAAAGAAAGTAGGGAAGATATCTTTTCATTGCACATGTATTTTATTGCTGCACCGTATGCTTTAAATAGTAACGCGCACGGGATAATATTCTGAATTGATAAGGAAACGTTCAGAAAAATTCCTGTCCAGTTTTCACATATCGTTCACTTGCTGCAATAATCATTGCCATTTTTGGTTGCAGAAAAAGAATGGAAATATAAAAAAAACTTATTTCTCAATCAATTTATGCAATCAGTTAATACACCAAAATTGCATTTTACAATTAATATTACAAAATTTTAATGATTTAAAACAGTGAAACTTATTTTTTGAAAAACTTTGTCTTTTGAATTGTGTCGTTATAACAAATGACGACGTATAACGACGTTAATTCTTTTTTTTTTTTTAATAAAAAGTGCATATGCCGTTATTTACTTGAAAATTGAGGAGGAATTCTGGAATGTTTTCTTGTAGATATTTCGTTATGGTGACATTGAATGTGTTCTTTGCACTTTTTTCTAATTTTTTTTTTACACGACACCTACTATATGTACATTTTTCATGCTTTATTATCGCACTCGGATCGACAAGATACAGATATCATTTAACCGACTTCGTCAAGTTGACGTTTGGAGAACATATTGTTCTCACTCTTTCTCACGTCGACTATGACTATGCCTGGCTGCAATTCGTATGAATTATTCTTTTTTTAAGAAACATTTTTTGCTTTTATGTACAAGGCTTCTTTTAATGGTTTTACAATTGACATATCTATATATCTTTTTGCTTTAATGACATCCATTTATTTGCATCAGAATAACTCACTCGTATTATATGTCAAGAGGAGCCAACGATTTCTATTTCGTCCTCAGAAATTGATGTTTCTTTTTCAGGAACGGTGAAGGTGACCATCACCCGTCGGAATCAGGTACAATTTTGAGCAAACGGATCGGCAGGATAACATCGCTGATAATGCGAGTCGCAATCTCGATTATTAAACAGCAATCGAGATCGGCAATTCTGACTGTTCAGCTTTACTGTTCAGAGACACGATTCTTAACATGCCATATTAATTATTACTCTGAATTATTTAAAGAGAAGCAAGAGAGATGATATTAGAAGAATATACGCGTGCACGTACATCGAGTGAGAAGAATATTGTTACGCGTATTTTTTTTTTTTTTTTAAAGGAGTAACACAATAGATGAAATTTACTCGAAAGACTTTCAGTCGCACTGAATTTACAGTAAAACTGAATTACCATGACAATGCAAAAGCACGAGACGAGGGAAAGAAGGACAAAACGTGATCACGTGTATGTGCCCAGACGTAAAAAAAAACCGAGCGAATCAGTGGTGCACCGAATAGAGTTACTAGACAAAATTTTAATTACCATTATAATATTATTGTGTATATATATATATATATATATATATATATATATATATATGATTCTTAAATATATTTTTTATTAATTAATAATGATAAAAGTTAGCTAATCAAATGAAAAGTATAACATACTTTAAATTCATTAAACATTTCTAATTGACGCATCCTATAAAGCAGACTCTTGTAAATTAATAGGTGTTACAAATCACTAGAGACTTACAGACACGCATAAGCGATTAAATTGTTTTTCCTGCAGCACCTGGAATTCCCGTCGTCGGCTTCTCTGTCATTTGTCCCTGATTTACGTTACGCCCAAGTAGTCGGCACAAACGAGTGAGACGTCCCCGATTCTTGAATTACCGACAAGGTTAGAAACACGTGTCGCCGAGCCCTCGACGTAGGGCAATTACGGCGGGTAGACTGTCTCATTCAGGTTTTCCTTGTCGGTTAAACTTCGTTGTTTTGCCGACTATTACTCGTACCACACCCAAAACAGTCCTTGAGGAAAAAAGCGGTCGAGTTTCACATGTGCAGAGTTTTCTTGATGCGCAGATAGGAAATTGCCGGTAAACCATTTGGACGTAGCTGCGTTGAAATGTGTTGTCGTTGGTCACCATATGTGTGAAATATTATGAAAAAGAATAAATTTTACCCACACATCTGGCTATTCCTAATGTATACCGAGAATTTCCTGGATGTTGTAAAAAAACTTTTATATAGATTGATTGCACATGAGTAAACTTGACAACTAAAAAATAGACTGCAATTTTGGATCTCTCTGCAACAGTATGAACAAATTTACCTTGTACTTCCATCTCTCTCTCTCTCTCTTTCTCTC